TGATGCCATGGCCCCTGTGTTCGATCTTGAACTTGCCCGGGGTGGAGGGGAACACCTCCTCGTCCAACGACGGCATTTTTCAAACCAAAAGAAAAAAAAAGTAGTGTCAATTTGTGAAATTAGTAAAAGAGGAATTGGAACATGGGAATGCAGAGGGAGAGGGGAAAAGGGAAATAAAAGTAAATTGGTCCTCCTCCTGCTAATTGCTAATTAAGGGTTGGGTGAAGAAAGGCTATTTATAGGGTGGCTCAAGAGGCTGGAAGCGGAACATAATTGGGGAAGCTTCTAATAATGTGTTTAGAATTGAGAAATGATCCAGCCATTCAATTTCAAAGCAACGACATGGCCACCCAACACATGCTCATACCATTGCAAATTGCCTCCTAGTGTTTTCTTTGGACCAGCGCAACCCAGTCTCGTTGCACAACTATAATTTGTCCCTCCATTTCATTCTTGTTTTAGTTTAGTCTTTATTTGGACTAAATTTCACATGATCTTAAAATTTTTAATTTAGGTTTCAGCTTAGTTGGTAGATAATTCGTGAAATTTCATTAAATTTAAGCTTTTATAAATATGAGGACTAAATTCAAATTAAATTGAAAATTTTAAAATTATATATGGAATTAAAGGCAAGATTGGTAATTCAACAAAAGAAACTAAAAAATTGTTTTAAGTTATGTTAATAAATTGACAGGTTGAAATTTCAAAGAAGTATATTGCCGGTCTTGGACTGCAGGAAATGAGAGATTCTAGGAACTACCAAATGGATACGTCTATTTCTTTCTTGTTGTTTGTTTTTTTTTTTCTTTTCCTGAAAAGAAATGGATTCATCAATTAAAAATTACACAAACTTGATCATTCCGATCTCATAATACTAAAAATTTGATATGAGATTCTAGATGGTGATACAAATAAGAGGCAGTGACCACATCGCTTCGCTCCAAAGGGGAAACACTTATACTTGTATTGCAAAGTGTTAAATATATTATTCAAGATTTTATTTCGGGTTAAAAAAACTCATAATCCCTGCCGTTTGAGTTGGTTCAAATGAATAAAGATTCAGGCTCAAAACTTCATCTAAAACAAAACCCATCCGAATTTATATTTAATTATAAAACAATTTATTTTACGGAAATTATATAAAACCATACTAATGTTAATTTTGTTTTATTCAATAATTCTTCATGAACTACTTATTTTACCATGTTTTTTAAAAATAACTTTTAAAAGCTTTTTAGTGTACTTTTTCACCCTATAATTAAATATCCATTCAATAATATTGATTTAATGTTAGATAATATATAAATAAATATTTAAGATATTATATTTACATTTTTTTTATCATAAAATAATTAAATTTTATAAACAAGTAACTATGTTGGATTGAATTTATTATTTAATAGGGGTTGGTTGGGTTGAATAAATTTATAATCAAAATAATTAGATTACTCAACTTATAAAACACCCCTAATTTTATGAGGGTAAAATGCAGCCCCTCTGCAAGGTTTCGTAAAAGAAAAAGAAGTTAATGTGTGATCTATAAATTAGATTGTGGGGGGGGAGGGGAGGGTTTCATAATTAATGGCTAAGCATTGAATTCCTAAGTTCGCTCCATTATTAGAGGTCGGTGAAATTTTGTTTGATGAATTGGTGGTGTTTGTTTATCTGTGAGTGAGAGTTTTCCGTGTTGAGAATAATAACGAACAAATTCAATTAGAAATTTAGTGCATAACTTTCAAGTTTGAAGTTTGTGTCCGGATTCAATTGTTAAAAAGTATTTAATAAATTCATATATTTTTTGTGTCTCTAAATAGTAATACGACCATAAACTTTAAAAACATCTAAACTTTCAATTTTGTGTTTAATACATTTTTGATATATTAAAAAAATTAATTAATGAATATATTAAATATAAAATTGAATCTTGTATCTTATATAATCATAAATTTTAAATTTTGCATCATTTGTTAATTATAAAAAATTTTGAATGATCAATGACTGAATTGAATAAATGAAATCTGCTCCAGATCCAAATGAAAAGTTTAAAGATCTATTATACAATTATTAAAGTCTATTATATATATTTTTTAAGTTCCAAAGACTTCATATAAATCTGAAAGTGGATAGAATAAACTTATAATTTCACCTAAAAATTGTAAGAGGCGAAAATTAAGCTGGGCTGGGCTGGGCTGACCTCCTCATTGGCGGCCCAAACGGTGCAGTTAGGTCAAGGCCCAGCGACTTCCTTGAGAATTGAACCCAGCTGCGGGACTACTTTTTAGCGCACATTCCTACATTTTTTTTTTTAATTTTGGAAAAAAAAAGTAGTTATTTATTTATAAAGAAAGGAAGACAAATGTAAAGGGGAAAGCAATCTTGTCAGCTATGGAGTAGATAAATAAAAACTTAAGAACATGTGAACGCTGCTTAGTGGGGGCTGTGGAGTGGAGTCAAATGCACTCAAAGTTCACTGCTTTTAGTGGAGTGGGTGATGACGTGTCTCACCGAAGCATGCTAATTTAATCATGTCTTCTCTCTTTTTTCTTCCCCAACTTCTTCTGGTATGTGTATTATTTTGCGTCCAAAAGTATGGGAGATATAGATAGTCGTTTACAATAATTTTTTTAATTTCCTTAAAAGAGAAGAAATTAAGAATACAGAAATTATGAAATTTAATTTCATAAAAATTCTTTTAATAGTTGGTTGTTATGAATTATAAAATCGATGAAAGCTTTATAATTAAATCTAAAATGGATAGAAATGAGTTAACAAGACATAAGAATGATTTAAAAGTAAAATTTAAATGATGAATGTTGGATTGATGATATAGAATCAACTATACTGATGGTGAGTTTTGGAGAGGTCCACGGGTCTTCTAAATGCGTGAGTCATCGAATAAATGAGTCTGCAACAATGAAGTTCGACACCATTATGGTGTGCTGCCTAATGAACTTTGATGATCAAGTTAATAATAATAAGAATTTCACCAGAGGAAGTTTCACACTTATGTTTGTATTTGGTACTCAAAGACCCTGTTTATACAAAAGTGTATCCTAATTTTAGAAGAAAAAGAACCTAAACTTAACAAGAATGCGCAACAACTTCTATGGATAGATTTTCTTGTTTTCGTTATGACTTGATGTGTGGCTTCAACTTCCTTGCTGAAGTTACATTAACACCTTAAGAATTAGTGACAGATTTTTCACTTGGTGGTGGAGGAGGTCCTTTCCTTTCATAAGCGTTCATGACCAACCAAGAAGGACGATGGTTTGGACATAGAGTCGCTCCCCTACTGTACAGATTCTAACGGGCAGGGGATGACGTTCCTAACACATAGTGGAGGCATTGTCACTTGCCAGTCTATCCTCGTATGCAAGCCACTATCTCCAACTAGGTTATGGTGCGTCTCCTGCATTATTTTTGCAGGGAAGCATCTATATGAGTCCTTGGTGCATGTCTCCAACCGTCTATGGCCCTTCGTCCAACTATCTCCTCTGGTACTCGACACGTCACGTGTTTAAATAATTTATCCTCAACAAACTAAAAAGAGAAATATCTCGCCTAAAGCCGAATTACCATGAACCACCCTATTCAAGATTCATCCTTCCACATTAAAATGTTGTCACACATTTTTTTTCTTTTGAATACAACACGTGAATGTGGAGATTCGATTTCATTACTTTCTAGTCGGAGATATATGTCTTAACTAATTGAGTTATATTTAGATTGACAAATTTTTACCTATTAGCATGATGATCATTATTTTCTATAAATATATTAGTTGTATCTACCTATTTAATAAATATAAGAATAATATTTAGATACTAATATCTCGTACTAACCGCTAATATATTTTTGTTAAGGAATGCATATAAAAGGAGAGAACAGAGAGATTTTTTCTTAAATAACTAACGCTCTGATCAATTTTTAATAAATAGATAGGAAGATACCTGTCGACCGTCAAAAGCGAGTATAACTTAGCGGTAATTGATATATATCTCTAACCAAGAGGTTATGCGTTCGATTCCCCACCCTACATGTTGTAGTAAAATGCGTTCGATTCCCCACCCTACATGTTGTAGTAAAATATATATATATATATATATATATATATATATATATATACCTACCAACCAATTAATACTTAGATATTTTAAACATAATATAGATAATATGACTCTCTAGATATTAGAAAAGGAAATCTCTTTTTACAACTAATATGAAAAATAAAAATTAGAACTTTTGATTTGAAAGAAAGGAGTAAATGATTTAGCTATTGAGCAAGTATAGGTTAGGTTGCCATAAAAGTAATTCTCGTTCAAGGATACAATGATACTATGGTATTCTCTGCTTTGAGTATAACATTCATGTTTTGCTTTTGATTTCATCTAAAATGTCTGTATCAATGGAGATAAGAATTTCTCTACTTTGAGTATAACATTCATGTTTTGCTTTTGATTTCATCTAAAATGTCTGTATCAATGGAGATAAGAATGATTTATCCCTTAGAATGACGTAATAGCAAAGGCCTTTAGGCCTTGTGGTATCACCTATCATGAATTTTTGTGTTTAGCCTTACATTGGTCATAGTATTATTCAACCTAAGTAATGAGCTTCGAGATCACAACATAAACCAGTACTCAATGAAATTTAAAATCATATCGTCGAAATGTTAAAGAGGTCATGTGAACCACGGTATTGATTTCGAGAAATCAAAAGAAAAAAGCAGTGAATGATTCACTATACTATCATCTGAAGTAAATGTGATGTTTATAGAAGGTCATGGTCATTGATCATTGGTATACTTTATGATTATATATGTTTTATGTTTAGAATTTATTTTGGCTCGGGGAAATATAGTTTCCGAATGAATTACTTGTGATAAACTGGCAAAAAGTTGGAGAACTTTAGAAGGTAGAATTTATTACTGATATGCATACGTAGGCTTGGATTGATAAATTTGTGAAAACGAAAATACAATAATACATTGGAGAGAAGCTTCATCGACCATTATAGCTAGTAGTATTTTAGATATGAATTAATTAGCCATAATTTCATCAGATGTAATTATTTTGCATGGCCTTGTCCGCCTCCGGATCCGTAGCCGCCACCGTATCCAGCGCTTCCACCTCCGCGACCACCCGATCCTGCTCTAGACCCAGCATACGAGCCCGCTTCAGACCCGGAATCAGAACCCGACCCAGAAGAAGATGAAGATGAACTCGAACTCGAACTCGAACTGGAACTGGAACTTGAGCCAGAGCCAGAGCCAGCACCCGCGCCGGAACCACTGCCACCAAGTCCAATGCCTACTCCAGCCCCGATCCCAACCCCGATGCCACCCAGGTCAAGGCCCAGGTCTTTCCTTGCCACTCGGCTCTCGGACGCCACAACAAGAGAAATAACGAGCAGAGCAGCAAGAAGGGAGGATTTAAAAGTAGCAGTAGAGCCACCCATTATATTATATTTACGATTTTGTGCGTGTGTGTGAGGTTGAACGTTGTAAGTATTGAGAATTTATAGGCGCAGAAGGAGGAGGGGGAGGCGGTGGAAGTGACAAGTGGCATGCGCGTAAAGATTGCGGCATAGAGTAATGGAGTAACATGCGCGGCTGAGTACCACTACCTTTTTTCTTCACTATCTTTTGTGTTTTTGGATTATTCTCGCACAAGTTTGAACTCACAAATAATGTATTCGACCTAATGTAATGGGGTGGCTAGCTACTCGCATCCGCATCTTTGTTGGGTCGAAATTTCGAGAAGGCATGGGGAGTGACATTTGCATTTACAAAAGCAAATTAAAGCACTATTGTCAAGCGCCACAATCTGATCTTGAAAATATTTAGGCCACGTATCAGATTAAACTTTGTTATTATCATCTTTGAAAAATGGACCCTTCATTATTTTATGAAAGGGAAATTGTATTTGGTTCCTCGTGATCCATCTTTTCCTCATCATCATTAAATATTGAGAACTAATTAATTTCTATAAAAAGTCTCTTTTTTTGCATTTCTCTCTGAATTGTCATATATTTAATAGCGGTGAGAACAAGATTATTCCTTCTCAATTAAGAAGCCAAATATTTTCCTTGATTTAGGGTTTAGAGTAGGGTTATTGAGGTTCTAATCTTGATTTTGGTTGTATTATTGTAGGAAACTTTTTTCCTCCGTCCCTCGAGATAGTGGCCAATACTACTGTGCGCCTGGAAGTCTCGGTATCATGAGGGAGCTATATATGCTTACTTTATGAATGTATCGCCCATATAAATTTTAATATTCAAAACTAAGAAGATTTTAGTTTGCCACCACCATATTTTTTAAATGGTTACAATTATATTAAGAGATTAAAAATACCATAATTTATTAATTTAATTTTCCCCATATAATGAAAGTTTGGCATTTTTTATCATGGTATAGCAACTATCCTCAAATCCCCTGCCAACCTTACTATTTTCTCAATTATTCTATCATCCTTACTCTTTATAAAAATGAAACTTACATTAAAAGAAAACTTTTATAATGAAATTTTTTTCCCCAAAATTTGTTTTTTTGTTTTTTTATAACCTGAAATTGATACCTGTTTGGCTAATTTTTACCCGTAGAAACTATAATTGGGCACCCACGCCCATCCCAGAATGCAGGAGACTTAAAAACTTTTGGTATTAAGTTCACTCAATGATTTTAATACAAGACCTCATGATAGGTGATCCCCACGCGATACTCCCTTGACAAATTCATCGTGGATGTAAAAAATAATCCGAAGGAATTTTTTCAATCGGTAAATAGGTGTAAAATTACATATTCATTCTCATATTATTAAAATCACGTGTGAAAGAATAATATTTGTGACAAAATAGGCTATGAGATGGATACTAAGATGATTTTCAAGATAACTATAAGATTGCTCAGATGGATAATGATTAAGGATCCGTCTATATAAGCCAACATGAACATAGCTCAGCGAAAATTCACACATTTCTCTAATCAAGAGTTTATGAGTTCAAATCCTCTCACCTCTCGTACAAATTCGTGGATAGACTTTTATAAACATACGGAGAGATTCATTGTCTTTAAGTATTATCACAAGTATATTTCAAATTTAATCTGAGTTGGAAAAATATTAACCACCACTTGGGCGTTAGACGAAAACTTTAATCCAAATACGATGGAAGATATCATGAAGGCCAATGCAATATTAGGTAGTGAAAATACACACGCTTGTTTGTTTTACACTTATTTGAAGCTGCTTTAAACTTAAACTTAAACTAGAGACAATCATAAGCACGACGTACTCTAAAATCATAATAATCTARCTTTAATTGTAGTCACCACCCATCTATGGTTTTTATTCAATATTGCATAATTCTTTTGTTTTACTTTTAATTGTTACCGCCTTCACCGCCGTAACCACGTCCCTCGCCATAGCCATGACCCTCACCATAACCTTCACCGTTTCCTCTACCGGAACCCTCGCCATAGCCCGACCCAGATCCCGATCCACCGTTCCTGTAATTTCTTCCCGAACCCGAACCCGACCCTGCACGTGACCCTGCGTAGGAACCAGCTTCCGAGCCTGCACCCGAGCCACCGTAGCTAGAGCTTGACGAGTGTGATGACGAGGATGAATACGAACCCGACCCGGACCCGGATCCAGACCCGGCTCCAGCACCCGAGCCACTGCCTCCGCCTATCCCCAACCCGATTCCTGCCCCGAGCCCAATTCCCAAGCCTCCAAGGTCAAGGCCCAGGTCCTTCCTCGCCACTCGTGCTTGTGATTCAATCGCACAGAAACAGACTACGAAACAAACAAAAGCAATTGCCCTGATGGAGGCCATTAAACTGCGGCAAAAGAAGTTCAAATCGCGAATCCGATATACGAGTTTAGGAGGAGGGGGTTCGTTTGTTGCACATATTTTGCAAGACTTGACAAGGTATTTATAGGAGTTTTTTGAATGCGAAGAAAACTCGAGAAAATTAAAAAAGTTGCAAAATTATTCCACATGGGTAATTCAAATGGAGACGTAGCTGAGTGAAAATCCTTGCTGTACCAATATTAGTGGCTGAACGCGGCCGAGGTTTCTTTATATATTGAAACATTACGGCTTATCTTTTCACAAATCCTTCCACACCTTTTTTTTTTTTTTTTTAGTATACAAATCCTTCCACTTGCAACCCACTAAATCAGTGTGGTGGACTAAATGTTAAACTATTTTGTAATCCTTCGTCCTTACCACTTTACAAGGGCTAAATTTTGTTTTCAATTTGAGATGATCTATTGGGAAAGAGAAAGCTATCACATTGTTTATTTTATATTTAATTTTAGGAACACATGCAAAATGTTGAATAAAGCAAAAAAATAAAAATAAAAATAAAAATACGCAAAGTTTAAATTTGGGGATTTGTAATGGGTAGCATATAAGTTTTCTATATTTAACAAAATAGCAGACCCTTTTTGATATTTTCAGATACAGTATTTTTTTTTTTAAATTCTGATTTTAAAATTTTGAGTATCCCCAAATTACCCTTTTTCAAGTATACATCATGCATATATCAATAGTACAATTAAATTTTATTTAAAGTTTTAAAGATCAAAATGAAATCAGCAACAATATCATTCTTAAAAGGTTTAAACATCATTCTTGGGTATCAACATCAACATCAAATCAGCAGTAAAGTCCTTCAACAAAAAACTTAAAGGTTTAAACATCAAAACGAACCAGTAGCATAAACCAAAAGTAGACTAACAATGTCATTCTTAAAATTCTATAAAAGAAGAAGCATAAGTTCTAGAAGCATAAGTTCCAACATTCTAGAAAAGTGTAAGTTTCATTCTTGTATAATCTTTTGGTAAAAGCTTGAGACATCAATCTTCGTTCTTTGGTGACTGTCATGTCTTCGGAGATAATATCTTTGAAGTTTTCCGTTTCTCCATAGACAACATTTTTGGCGTTGGTTTATGTTGTCTTTTGGGACGAACGACATCAACATTTTCGACGATGTTTTTTATTTCATTTTTCGTGTTTGTACCATTGCTTTTATCTGAAAAAAAAATTATTTCATATATTAGTAGTATATCAGAAAATATATATTAGAGGTAATATGTTCGAAATAATTGGTAGATATCGTAGTTATATCAGAAGTAAATCAATTTCATATCATATGTATATCAAACATATATCACATATATATCAAGAGTATATATATCAATCATAGTTATATCAGAAGTCAATCAATAGTATATCAGAAGTCAATCAGTTCTATATCACCTATAGTAGTAGATATCATAGTTATATCAGAAGTAAACCAATTGCATATCATATGTATATCAAACATATATCACTTATATATCAAAAGTATATTTGTCAATCATAGTTATATCATAAGTAAATCAATAGTATATCAAAAGTCAATCAGTTCTATATCACCTATAGTAGTATATATCATAGTTATATCAGAAGTAAATCAATTTGATATCAGATATATATTGAAACATATATCACATATATATCATGAGTATATTTGTCAATCATAGTTATATCATAAGTAAATCAATAGTATATCAGAAGTCAATCAATTCTATGTCACATATAGTAGTAGATATCATAGTTATATCAGAAGTAAATCAATTTCATACCATATGTATATCAAACATATATCACATATATATCAGGAGTATATGTCAATCATTAGTATATCAGGAGTCAATCAGAAGTAATTTATTGTTGGTTCGGACTTGCAGGGTATACTTGTAATTTAGAATATGGGCCTCCGTTTTTTTGCAAAAAAAAATGTTATATTTGAAAAACTCAAACCTTGTTGTTATTTTGCTTATTAACCTAACTTTTTTTGTCATATCTCAAGTTGCCCCTTTAAATTTTTATATAGAAATAGCATACTTCGATTCAAATTCAAATATTCAAATAAATGAAAAATTAACATGAGAAGAAAAAAAGTTAAATTTGTTGTTGATTTGAACATAAAAACACCCTATCTTCGACTAAAATTGTAAGTTCGAATGAATCCCACGAGGTTGTATTTAAAAATAAAAATTGTGACTTTTTTTTAAAATATATAATTTTTTGTGGTAATTTCCTAAATTTTTAAGCTATATGATTTCATGGAAATCGAAACTTTTTACTTTCTGATTAATAGCATATTTAGCTTTCGAATAAAGTTTGTAAGGTAAATTTAGGAAGAGGAAATAGGCTAGAATGAAAATAAATTGTTTGTCTTTTTCTAATGCCTGTAGAAATTTGATATATTAAAATATATAGAGTGACAATGGTAATTTAAATTGATTTTATGGATTCCATGGTGGCAGCACCAAAGTATATGGCTATCAGTTCACAATCTGTTGATAGTGGTTAATTGATTGATTAATTAATTAATTATAGGATAGGCCTCCATTGACTTAGTGGACGACTCTAATTGTACTAATTATTTAATAATAATATAAAATTTTTTATTTCAAGTAATAAACAATTTAGCTTCCCACGTTTTCCAACAAGTATTCTCTCATACATGTCATCAATTTATAAGACTGGCAAAGAGAGAATTTTCGTCGTACATAAATAATTTCATCAAGAAAACAAAAGTTTCTTATCATATATGAAATTTGTGGAAGGAAAAAAAAATACTAAAAGGATAAGTGGACCTGACAACTCAATTTGATATGATCGTTAACATAACCAATAGAGAATTGATGTGCACTCGAGATCAGTTAATGATCAAAACTTAGTTAAAGCCTAAGTTCCATAGAATCGACTTGAGGACTCTGACCTAAGACTTGAAAATTGATTTGGGTGTCCTACAATTGGTTGTTTCTTTTTACCCGTCCTTCTTGCTTAAAGTCGCACCTCATCAGGTCATCCTCATTGCCACATGGTCGATCTACAATAGCTCGACAAAATCCTGCATCAAAAAAATTAAACATCAATAACATCTTTATAATATAATGAAAAATATTTAACTCTTTACTGGTGAGAACCAGATCTTGTCCACCTTTAAAAAAAAATTGACAACTCATGGATAAGAATACAAATATTTTCCTTTTACATATTGGTATTTCACAACGTTAAAGATTATCTTTTTTAATTGAAGAAGCTTATTTAAAAAAAAAAAGAAAAAAAAAAGAGTTTACAACTATATTTACAACTTCCTTTAATCATCCAAGGAAAATCCTCGAGTTACGTTATATATAATAGACATTTTATAACAAGTCATCTAAATTTAAGGTGTTTAACAATATTGAAAATTCTTATCCCAAAGAAAAAGAAAACAAAGAAAAAATACGAAATAATGGTGCTTTATGATTTTACTATATTATTTATTTAAATTTATCATAAGATTTGTCAAGATCCTACGTTAAAAAAATTAAAAGACATAACAAAATAAAAATTTATGGTATAGTAGATTTGTTGTTGAAAATCTAAAATTAGTCACAAATAGTTCTGACGCAGTGGCAAGAATATAGAGCTAGCTTGTGGTATCATGAAATTTTATGTTAGAGTTATGCACTAGTCACACTGTTGTTTGTCTAAACAACAAAATTTAACAAATTTTGGTTATAGAGATTCATTAACGTAAGCTACAAAACATCAATTTCCAAGAAATAAATTAAATGACTTTCGAATAAATAAATCAAATGACTTTTGAATGGAGAATGGAAGGTAAGTTTTGTATCACTTTGTTTTTAAACCTTGGAAAATACTTTGCTGCTAAGTGTGAGATTTCATACGGGACTTCTGGAAGTCGGTGTTGATCCCTATGACTTTGGATCATTCAGTGGGTACCAAGATTGGTGGTTCGACATTCGTACTCGCAAGGAAGTTCCAAAATTAAGCCACCAATAATGAATAACGTACATATATAGGTTTAGGGTTTAAGATCAAAACTACATTATGCATAAATTGTCACCAAAGTCCATTAATATAATTATGAAAACACACAAGAGAATTAACACTAGCCGACGCAGACGCATCATCATTTATTTTTTTATTTAAAATACTTAAAAATAGGGATGATGATTACTGATTAGATCAACAACAGTACGTAGCTATAACACTAGTACTTTTAGATTTATTATACGGCGTCGTATTGATGTTTGGTAATTTCTTCTTCAGTTGCCTCCGCCATAACCATGTCCCTCGCCGTAGCCATGGCCTTCTCCGTAACCTTCACCGCTCCCTCTGCCCGAACCTCCGCCATACCCCGAACCTGACCCCGACCCTCTGTTCCCACCAGACCCTGAGCCCGCCCGAGACCCCGCGTATGAGCCAGCATACGACCCGGCTTCGGACCCCGCACCGGACCCAGAGCTTGAGCTTGACGAGTACGATGATGAGGAGGAGCTCGACCCGGACCCGGATCCGGATCCTGCTCCGGCTCCGGAACCTGACCCACTACCGCCTCCCAAGCCTATTCCTGCTCCAAGCCCGACTCCGACTCCTCCAAGGTCGATCCCCAGGTCCTTCCTCGCCACGCGGGCTTCTGACACAATGGCAGCCGACAAACCAAGTATAAAAGCCACAACTGCAAAACACCTGATCGCAGCCATTGGTTTATATCAAACGGAAGAGGTTTAAAGGAAATGTGAGTTCTGAGTAGGGCTTGTAAAATTATAACTCTTTTGATTGTTGTGGGATTTGGCCGGAGTTGGGGGAGCTATTTATAATTTACAAATGGTTGAACTGAGGCTGAGGCCGTCTAGGGTGTAGGCCGTAGGTGTTGTTGGAAAATGGTGAGGTGGCCACTGCAAAAGATTGCAGAGCCCAACTTCCGTGGCTGAGGAACGGCCCCAATTGTTCAAAGATTGTGGCGTTTTGGACAAGTGTCCAAAAATCTTTAATTTGTCTTGTGTCCACACGGTGTGTATGGTGAAGAATTTTGGTGGATTACAGAAGTTCGCGTTTGAGAGATTCAGTAGTTGATAATACATAGAATAGAAGTGGGTATGTCATTATAATTAGAGATCCGTTGCAGACTCATCCCGAGTCGGTTTGTCCACTCACTTTAGTGGACTTTGATTGCAGTTTGCAATATAGTGGTAATAATAATGCACATTCTGATGCCGACAAATCTACAAACTCTGGTCTCTGCATTTATTCTGACAAAAGTATGTGTTTTTCGATCGAAAGGGATTTATTTTGTTAGAATTCCATTAGGAAGATAGCTCTCACCCGTCACCTCTTAAATACTGAATATTTAAATATTTTTTACTATCCTATTATGTTAGTTTTGTAAAGAAGTGGCTATTTACATTTGTTAGCATGCACAATACTTGTCTTTAAAATTTGACAATGACAAGTGTTTGTGTCGATGAACTTGTGATTTTTTTTTCATCTTATTACAAAGGGAGCTGTGATGAATATTTCTACTTGATGATATTTTGTTTTCTTTTCCCATATTTGTTATTTTTGTTCTTGCCTTTTTTGTTTCCACCCTTAAAGCAACTTAAAAATTTTTAAACTTGTTTAAAAAAAATAATTTCGGTAAAATATGAACTTGAGGACAAAGTTACTCATCAAACTATTTTCTCGTGAGCAGGACAAAGTTATCAAGTATTTTTTTCTGATGTGTTAAAACTCTATCTCCTCCCAATTAATTTAAAACCTTGGTGTGAGATAAAATCGAATATGGGCCAGATACAACCTCTTATAGAATAATATATTATTAAGATAAGAATATTATTTGGAAAGAGATATTTCATCTGGTACTAAGTTTTGTTTATTTTATCTATTTGAATAAAACACTAAACTCAAATTTAACAACATGTCCGTGAATTAGCCGTAATATTTCATGTTAAAAGAATTTTTATTTTTAATGTCTGTTTAAGAAAACAGTAGTCTATTAATCCACTTGTGTGTTGTGCTTGGGTCAATTGTACATGTAACTCGATGGCGGATTAGGTTCAATTCATGTACCAACATTTTTCAAAAACCATTGTATTGAAAAATCAAATTGATTTTCAGTTAATAATTATTTAATACTAATTAAGTAGTAACATTTTATGTTTTTTTTAGGTGAAGATTATCTTTTTATCTCAAAGATGAGCGACAGATTTGGCAGCAACGTTTTATTGAATACTCGTAATATTTATTTTATATATATTCCTAATCCCTTAGACAAACAGATCCCATTCAAACTAGATGAAAGCAAGGAATGAGGATTCATCTTCATCATCATCTAGGCTTTATTCATCCTCATCCAATTCTATTATGAAATGGCTTGAGATGCTAGTTTCCGCCGCCGCCGCCACCGCCAGAACCATGACCCTGGCCGTATCCGCCCCCGGATCCACCGCCGTTCCCACTTCCACCAGACCCCGAGCCTCCCCGAGAGCCAGCGTAGGAACCAGCATCGGACCCTGCGCTGGACCCGGACCCGGACCCGCCGGAGCCTGAGGAGGAGGAGGAGGAGGAGTGTGATGAGGAAGAAGATCCAGAGCCAGAGCCAGCTCCGGCTCCCGAGCCACTGGCACCGCCCAAGCCGACTCCCGTTCCGACGCCGATGCCAACCCCTCCAAGGTCGACGCCCAAGTCCTTCCTGGCCACACGACCGCTTTCTGAAGCAATCACCCACACGCCAATTACTAGAAAAGCCACAATGCTAACGCCCCTCATTGCACCCATTTGTGCTATAATTTTATGGAATTAACTCAAGGGGGTTTTAGTAACTACAAATTGTGTTTCGGCCAATGCAATAACGAAAGGATGGGGTATTTATAGTGGTTAAACCAGTAATTAAATATCATGATTTGTGGAAAATGGCGAGGATTTGGACAGGTGTTACATTGTCCCAGAGTTTAATTGCATTGGCGAGCCCCAGTTGTCACTTGCTGTTGTGGACTGCAACACCTGGTTTTCTTTTCCTTTCCACTGCTCAACCTTTTCCTCTATCCTTATCATATAACCCCGACGCGCGTATATACTTGCTGCATCCAATTCTTATTTTACTTCTCACCTCACGCCTTTACTTTTATTTCATCTAAAATGTCTATTTTCGTGATTATATTATCTTTTAACATCTATGAGTGTCAGGATAGCCGAATACAGAAGAATTAATTTTCCTTCTCAATTTACCGTAGCTTTTTTGCACCATTGAACCATCCATTGATGATTTAAACCATCAACTTTATAAATTTAACCATTTTGCTCTTGCTCCTTCTTATTTTACCTTCAATTGTTATTGTTATTAGGTCTGTATCTAAAAACAATTCAATTTAATGAAATTTTATAGATTATTCGTTTTTCTCTTTTCCTGAAATTATATGGTATGACAATCTCAAAAAATTAACGTGGTAGCAGAGTTTCTATTTTTTAAAATTAGTTTACTTCGATATATCTTCTTATGAAATTAATCGATTAGTTTGCACAATATTATACATTCGGACCTAATCGCTTCATCTTCGTTTGTTGATGGCGGCTTCACAAAATTTATCTTCAACAAATTGATATTTGTCTTCACCGAATTGATTTTGGTAGTATGAGCAGCCTTGATCTTGGTCGCGAGTTTTTGCAAATTTGACTAATTTTGCATTGAATTGTGTGACTGAGGTGGGAAAGTTTGGCCAAGTTTGCAAAATTTGATTGAGTTCTGCATTGAACGTGAATGAATTAGCAATTTCGAAAGATTATCCCTACTGAATTGCAATAATTTACAATCTGCTGTCGAAATTTAAGTTGACTTGTGGCCCATAATTTATGGGCTAGTATTGCATGGGCTGAATTGCTGTTTCTTTGAGGTATAATAATTTTGTGGTTTGTGGTTATGATGCGAGAATTATTGAGATGGTTTCTTTTGAGAATTCAATCGATATAATTGATTTGCATGGGGAATACGTGACTTAAAATCTTAATGGAACGTAGTTTGTTTGTGTTTTAGAAGGCGAATCGTTTTGATATTGGTGGTTGGTTGTGCTTTGTATTGTGATCTAATTCTGCTTTAGTTAAGTTAATTTTGATTGAGTAAAATATTTGTTTTGACTATTTTCAATAGTTTTAACCTACCAATAGCATAGTTTTGAAATGTACACTAGAGTATTCATTTTTATATTTCTCTTTTTTAGTTATTAATTTTTCAATGATGGTTAAGACAAGATAGGTCCTCACTAGTAATATTGTAGCTATAAAAAGTGAGCTTAAGAGAGTATAGGGTGAGGACATTATTTGGTTAGATAATAGCAAACACTAAAATTAAACAATTATTTCTAAATAATTCAAAAAAATGAAAAATAAAGCATTTGAAAAGTCAAGGGTCCACCTGCAATATTTATTTCCATAAAATCCAGTAACTAAAATAGAGAGTTTCTAAATTTAGAAACTAAAATGAAAAAACTTGAGAACTAAAATAAAAATTAATGGAAAAAATCGAAATTGGGTTAATGAAAAAGGTGAAAATATATACAGGAGATAGGAGATGGGAAAGCAGAGAAGAATTGAGAAAAGGGCAAAAGTGGGAAATTAAAACGGAGGCGGCGGCGTCGGTGAGGGGTAATTAAGTCCGAAACTGGATGAAGACGGAGGAGAGGAACAAGACGAGATGAGAGATAAAGAGCAAGAGAGAGGCGATGATGAGGAAAACGCCAAGCTTCCACCATTTGGACTGCAAAGTTCCCAAAAAGCCCCTTTTGCACGACACGCAACTGTAGCACAAAGAACCTCTGTCATTGTTCCACAAATCACAGTCGCTGTCGTATGGGTTCGATTGGTTTCTCGGCCCCTCCTTTCTCAACCAAAACGTCGCGTTTACGTACTGCATTTCACATATCGTCGATGGCGTGCAGCATCCAGACTAGTACGTAAACAAAAATGAATCAAAATTGAACCAAAATAAAAAGTAGGGGATGAATTAATATTATTACCTCGAGAGAGGAGAGCTTCTTGAGGCTAAAATCGTAAGACTTGAGCATCAAGGTTCGGGAGACCAAATCGTCGCACGCGCCCATATCGTAAATGCAAGATTTAATATCGTCCCAATGGGCGTCGTTGAAGACCTTGACACGGAGCCACTTGGGGGAGGCGGCCACGGAGCGGCTCTCCATTTTATACGCACCCACCAGCGCCAGCCCGATTATGAACATCAGCAGCAGCGGGACCATGACGATCATGAGCCCCAGAACGGGGAACCGCGACCTCATAAAAACGACGCCGTTGCTTATGAGGAACAGGACTATGAGCCCAATCCCGATCGCCACCTGGAAACCCGGCAGCTTCAGAATGCTCTCGCAATCCGAGCCTCTCACGTAAAATATCCACACCACGAACCCCAGAACCGGGATCGACAGAATCAGCGTCACCGTCGCCAGCAGTTTCTCCATGTTGCTCATTGCGAAAAATGCGTTCCTTTTCGTCGTCGCCGGCGCCGGATGCTCGCCGCCGGCTGGTGCGGCCGCTTCGGTGTCTTTGACGACCTTCTCTTCCACCGCCACTACTGCGGCTACGGCTTCTGCTTCCGCCGCGTTTGCATTGTTGTTCTCTGCCATTTTTACGACTCTGATTGATGATCAGAAAATTGTGAGAGAAGGGATTGTGGAAATTGATTAATTAAGCCGCCCCTGTGTTTCAATATATATAGATAATGGATATTCTTTGGCTTATGTGTAATAATTATTACAAGTCAAAGGGGGAACACTTTGGGTAATAAATTGAGTGGTTTTGAGGAGAAAAATGAGGGTGGGTTTGTTGCAGATGATGAGATGAGAAATAGTAGGAGTAAGGTTAGAAACAGTTTACTCAGCTCTGGTTTGACAGTACAAAAATCTTTCATCTTTTGAAAAAATTAGATTTTTGTTTTTTCTTTTTAATTGGTTGACAGAGTCAGATGTTCTAACTGAACTGTAGGGATCTGGGGAAGCCTTAATGTTGGCAAACATTACTAAAATATTAAAAATCTAATTTAGAAAATTAAAAAAAATATATTTTTGAACATTAGAGAATAATTCTGAGACTAAAATTAGAGGCTTTTTCTGGGTTGATCCAAAGTTCAAATCCGGATCACCATCAATCTTTGTCGTACTGAAAAATATTCTTTTTTCAATTAAAGATAATGAGAATTAAATTTCCGGCAAGAGCATGATGAAAGCATAGGAGCTAGATAATTAATTTTACCACAAGCATCATACTTATAGTTATCACACTTATAGTTATATCACAAAGTATATATAAATTAAACCATGTGTATTATATTAATCTCAGAAATATATACAAATATACCATGTAGTACATCGTACTAGTCTCAAACGTATATATAAATTATACCACGTGCATCATATTGATCTAATAATAATATACAAATTATATCGTGTGCACCAAAGTGTATATACCAATTATTTTGCCATAATCAAATATATATTGAATACAAATATATGGGATATAAAGCCAAGAAATTTCAACTTAAAATAACGTCAATGATGGTTGTCGATAATGTCTGGAAAAAAAATTATAAATAAGTCCTGACAATTTTTGTCGAAAAATGAAGGACAATAATAATAAATATATTTGTCTTAAATGAAAATCAAATTATTAAGAAATAATAAATTAGAATGCCATAATAAATGTGGTAGAAATGGAAAAAAAATATAGTTAATAGAATAAGGAAAGAATGAATTAATTGTCATCATTAATTAATACAGATTACGAATTAGAAATTTAAGCATTAATAAATATACCGCCTTAAATGAAATACTAAATTATTAAGAAAATGTAGATTAAAATATTATAATAAATGTGGCAGAATAATCTTAAATGATGGTATTTTTGGTCAGAAATAAAATATTCATTCAAACCTAGAAATTTAAAATTGTAAATATTGTTCACAATGAACATTTATGTAGTACTGGTTGTGAAATAGGCAACTAGAGAGAATTTCGGTTAGAAAAGGCAATATACAGATCATTTGGATAATGTGTATAATAATTTGATTTTGATTGATATTGAATGGGCCCGCCAATCTCGGGGCTTTGTGTATCTGGGCTATACAAGCAAGGCCCAGGCCAAAGCCCAACGCAGATTGTGTATTAAGGCTAGGCTGGATTTAACAGAAATTTCATGTAAGGTTTAAGAATTAAAATTTTACTAATACTGATTTCATGAACATATTAGCTCATGCTAAATTTAAAACAACTAATATTCATAATAACTCGTTAACTAATTTAAAATTTAATTCTAAGTAAATTTTTGGTCGAGATCTAAAGCACTAGTTGAAAAAAGGTTTAAAAAATTAAAATAAATAGTATAGATTTGTTTAACATAAAAAAAAAACGTTTATAAAAATGATATGTTAGAAATAAGTTATAAAATTAAAACTGAATACAAATTTTTTTTTTGGTTATTTCAATAATTCTAATAACAATTTATAGAGTTCGAGAATCCTGATAGGAAAAGAGGTGATAATTGGAAAAGCAAGGATTGGTGATTCAATTTTTAAGAGTTTGAAATTTTTGGAGCAACAAATAAATCAACGCCTTAGTTAAAAATGTGCATACAATTCAAAACATTTCCATGTTTAGGACTTTTAACACACGTTCCCTCAAAGACTTTCAACCTCATAAATTTTGTATATTATTATCTTTTCCCATCCATTTTAATGTATTTGTATTTAGCAAAAAACTGATATATTAATAAATTGATACAATATTTTATGGGTGTTTAATGATTTCATTTATAGCTTGTGGTTTATTACTAAAAAAATTAGTTACTAATAATTTCGTTAAAATTATTTTAAAAATTAACATAGTTTTGTCATGAGTTTTAAACACAACACTGTTATATATATATATATATATATATATATATATATATATATATATTTTCATTACAACTATTTTAAAACAAAACCATTTTTTGAAAATAAGTAAATACAAGCTGGCAAAGAAAATTGATGGCATGGCCATGGAAGGAGTGAGATGAAGTTGCTCACAATCACTTCCTAACTATAAATGAAGCCACAGAGGTCACGTTTACCTATTCGAAATCCTAATGGAAATCAATATTGGAATAATGTTATTCTATTGATATTGTTTACCAGAAATTTTTTGGAATCGTAATCAGAATTCATTTGATGTTGTTTACTAAAACTGTCTGCAATCGGAATCGGAATAAGATATATAACAATTGCTAATATACCCCTTTGTCCTTTTTAGCTAATTACAAATATATTGTTGTGCTAATCTTTTTTAAATTACAATAATATAAATTTTAATTTAATTTATTACTATATTATTGATAGTAAATATTTTTTATTATAACAATTTATCTAATATTAATACATAATAATCATTAAAATAAAATTACATCAAAAAAATATTTTTATTAGAAGAATCAAACTTTAATATAACATATTATTAAGTTTTATTATTATAATATTTAAAAAATTTATTGATATTAATTTATTATAATATAGTCACATCAACCAATAAAAATTAGAGCATAAATGGAGAAGAAATTATAAAAGTATAAAAAAAACTAACTAAGAATTTTAGGGATCAATCCATAGACGAGAGAAAAAGGGTAAAAGTGGTACATTCGTTATAATATACGTGGGGTCTATAGAACAAAAAATGAGAATGAGATTGATAAGGTTTAGAAATTTATTGGATTAATGGGATGGTAGGTCCCACCATTTAATTATATTCCCACAATTTGGTAAACATCATCTAAGGAAATCGATGTTCTCATTGACGGGGCCTAAAATTAAAAAAAAAGAAGAAAAAAGTTATATAAATAGTAATGACCAATTCAATTTGAACAATCTTTAGCCAAATTAATTCGTTTATAGGTACGAAAAGACTTCTCTTTTGATTAAGACTTTTTTTTTTCTTTTTTCCTTTTTTTGTGGTTGAACTTAAATGCTTCATCTTCTTTCTTTTTCTTTTTTGCTCTTTTGCTCTTTTTTGGAAAAGGAAGACTACTACGTCTTTGTTTCAAAGACTGGGAAGACCGCAACATCGAAACCTTGAGTGAGTCTTCAATATCCTTCCCCTAGATTAAGTCAACCATTATTATCTTGAAAAAAAAATGATTTAATGTGATTGTTCTTTTTCAACTTAAGTTTAGCTCAAAAATTGTGTATTTTAAATTTTACCCCATTGTTGTACCTAAAAAAGTGAGAGAAAAAAATTATGGTCTAATAATCATTTCATGGACATTCTAAAGGAAAAAATTTGGCTCCTAATTAGGAATCAACTTGTTTTTTAATACCATTAAATATTTGATAACTAAGAAAGAAATATAAAAATATAAATTTATGAATTATCAAATATTTAATGGTGTTAGAAAAGAATGTATTATTTTTATTTTTATATTAGTCGTCAAATATTTAATAGGATCAAAAGGAGCAAGTCTCTCCTTAACATAATTTTTTAACTTCTTAACCCAAACACAATGTCCGTTTAAGATTGTTCCACAATTTCAATACTTTCTCTCTCTCTTTTTTTGTATTTTATCTTAAAAACCATACCTTACATCTCCAAAATACTTACCTTTCAGCTTTTACTTCCAATCATTTTTCCTAAGTACTTTATTAATCTTTTTTTTTAGGGTTATACCCACTTTTTAACTATAAAAAACCAAACTTTTTGAACTTGCATATAAATCACTAACTACTAGTCTGTTGATACAACGAAAAGTGATGAAAAATAAAGAGAATATTTCAAAAGTAGTTCACTTTGGATATTTGAAAGAATTTTATCTTTTTGTCTTCTTCATATACGTTATTGTTTGTGATTCCTCTACGTAATACTGTCGTGTTTTTTTATCTTGTAATGTATTTGGAGATTATGATACATGACTATATTGTACAAATTAAATTGAATGATGGAGTCGCAAGGAATAACTTGGGGCATCAAGGAATATCCTTAAGGCTTTGGGTTCAAGTCACATGGAACGTAACTCCAATGATGTCAATTTTAGTTTATTTGGATTTATGTACTTTTAACACGTCAATTTTACTTCATATATTTTGAACTTTTATTTATTTTAGTCCATATATTTCGAAATGCTTGTTTTGTCCCTATACTTTATCTTATATCTTTCGATCAACATTTCATTCACTAAATTTCTTGAAATGATAAAAATTTTCCATATAAGATGTAAATTAAAATTTTAAAAATAAATGGTTATTTTTTAAGAATATAGTAACAGTAAAGTAAATAAAAGTTCAACCATAGAAACCAAAAATAAATATTTGGAGGGCTGATGGATGAAAGTAATATTTAAACCTAAGAGAATTTTTTAAACTTATAAAATATTCCATCTTTTAAACGCGTGAATGAAAAATAAATAAATAAATCGAAAGCAAAAAAGAGTTTTCATCATCCCCAGTTTGAAAAATCAAAGACGGATCTCGAAAAGATTAAAAAAACAAAAAAAGGTTTTGAGTGTGTGAAGTGGAGGGCGAGGGCATTGGGAAGTAAAGAGCCCCGAAGCTTCACCATTCACCGTAGAGCCGTCGCTTTTGAAGTTTCCTTTGAATCCTCTTCTCAAACACCCAAAACAAATATCTTCGCCACCTAAACGCGCATTCCCAAAACGCTATATAACAAACTCAAAACTCAAACCAAACAACCATTCAATTTCTCTCTCTCTCTCTCTCTCTGTTTATTTGCTTTGATTAATTTCAGATTTTGGGCTTGGTTAGACGACCATGGTGCGGCTCAGCAACACTTTGGTTGGGATTCTGAATTTCATAACCTTTTTGCTCTCAATTCCAATCATAGTGGGTGGGGTATGGCTCAGCAGGCAGGGCACCTCCGACTGTGAGAAGTTCCTCGACACCCCCATCATCGTCATCGGAGTTTTCCTCCTCTTGGTCTCCCTCGCCGGTTTCATCGGCGCCTGCTGCCGCGTCAAATGGCTCCTCTGGATTTACCTCTTCGTCATGTTCCTCCTCATCCTCCTCCTCTTCGTCTTCACCATCTTCGCCTTCGCCGTCACCAACAAAGGCGCCGGCAAAGCCCTCTCCAACAGAGGCTACAAAGAGTACCGCCTCGGCGATTACTCCAACTGGCTCCAGAATCGGGTCAACGACAACAAAAACTGGAACAGAATCAGGAGCTGCTTGGTCGACGGCAAAGTCTGCACCGACTTCAGCAACAAATTCGCCAGCTATACCGTCGAACAGTTCTACGCCGAACACTTGTCTTCCATCCAGGTACCCCCAAACCCTAACCCTAACCCTAGACTTTTACTTTTTTTTTTTTTTTCAATTTTCCAAAAACAGAGCAAATTAAAATTCGATTTCTGTTCTCTGCAGTCGGGTTGCTGCAAGCCGGCGGATGAGTGCGGATTCCAGTACGCGGGGCCGACTCGGTGGACGAAACCAAACAATTCCACTTCTCCGAATCCTAATCCTGATTGTGATGCGTGGAATAACAACGCAGACACTCTGTGCTACAATTGCCAGTCCTGCAAAGCCGGAGTTCTGGACAATTTGAAGCGAAACTGGAAGAAAGTTGCCATTATAAATATTGTCGTCCTCGTCTTTCTCATCATCGTCTACTCCATTGGATGCTGCGCTTTCAGAAACAACAAGGAGGAGAATCACTACCCCAGATGGAAATGAACCCATTAATTACTTCTGTTTTCTTTTTCTGTATTCTGCTTCGTGTAAAGGGTACTTTTCTTTCATTTGTTTATGCTTTGTTTTCCGCTAGTTTGAGGCATCTAGATTAACTGGTATCTATTGTTTTCTTGTAGCTGTTTGTGATTATTATTTCACATTATTTTCTGTGCTATATCAATAAAATCTAGTGATTTTCGTGTTTCTTTCGCTGTAACTTTCCATTTCGACACCTAATTCAAATTTATATTAAATAATCAATTTGACTAATGTCTGTCTTTGCTGATTTTTTTTTCTGTAAATTAGTCGCAGTTTGAAATTTGCGTTGCGTGTTTAGAATTATTAGTTTAGTATTTTAATTGCACTTTTGGACTAATAAAAATGATATTTTTAATAAACTTTGTGGACAAACAACTATGAAAATTTGTGCCACGTGACTGGATAAGCTCAAAACAAAAGCTTGATAAAGTTGGCGTTGCGCAATTATTTCTCGGTCCCCTCGTCCTTCGCTCAATAAAATTCCATCATGTCAAATAATAATAATAATAATAACAGTAATTCCATCATTGGAGGGGAGTTAATTAGGAATATTTAACTGTTTTCAAATACATTTTAGAAAGATGACTGTACAAAGTATGGTAACATTTACAAAAAGAGAAAAAAAAAAGATAAAATATAGTAACTAAGGAATGGTGATGTGATTGTTAGTTAGATATTTATTTAATTTTAAAAAAAATAAAAATTACCATAGGTGAAGGTGAATAAATACCACTGCGTGGTTGTTATGGCCAAAGTCATATGGTAACGTGAGTCCGATAGTCTCTCTAAACCGGGCCACCAAAAAAAATTCGAGTCTATTAGGGATGTTCAAAAAGTCTGATAATACGACGAACCCAACCAAAATCATAAGGATTGGGTTGGATTGTGATTTTTCCAATCCAATCGATTGGGTTGGGTCTTGTGTTCAACCTTTAAAAAATCGGGTCAGTCCAACTCAACTCAAATTTATATAGGTTAACCTTGTATCAGAGTTATATCTCGACAAAGATAATCTTAATAAGAGGAGGTAAATTTTCAGAAGAAAAATGCTTACAGATACGAAAAGTAGTAATATGATTTAAAAAGTGAAAGATTTATACATATATAGAGTTTAAAAATGATATTTGATGTGTTATGATCTTCTAAAAAGGTGACATCATCTTTATTTGTATTAAATACATATTTGTGTGATTTAATATTTGTATTAAGAACTAAGAAGAATCAAAACATAAAGTAAACCAGTTGTATTTTATAATAATTAAATTAAGAAAGGAGATGAGGGATGGCCGAGGGCCAACTGAGATGGAACAAAACTAGAATCGTTTGTATTGTAGATGACGATGATTTGATAGAATTGCTTTCAAAAAATTCAAGTGACGAAGAACTGTAAACGCAGGGGCAGGCAGGACATTTCAATAATGCGAACCAGTTGTATTGCGGGACCCACATTCCACTTGTCTTTTGTGATAATATCACCGGTTGACCGACCCACGGTGTTTTCTTTTCACGTCGTTTCAGCTGACAAAATTTAAATAAAATAATTACACGTGTCAAAATCCTCGCTATTAGTTGTTAATGATTTTACGCCACCATGGCTTTTCCATTTTTTCGCTTGGCAGTTGGAGCCGGAGAATGACCGAAAACTAATCCCGTTTGTCCAAAATAAATTAATGCCAAAACAAATGCAAAAATCCCTCCCGTCACCCATGTGGGTGTGGTCTTCATCTTCCATTTTGCCTCTCCGATTTATAAAGCTTCCATTTCAGTATTTGAATTTTAGTTTTTTTTCCTCTAATATTTTTATTTTAAGGTGAGAATTTGAATATCTAATTTTTCTAGTTAAAAATATTTACTTTAATTATTTGAGCATAGTCTAAGTTGGCTAGTTTATTTTTTAATTGGTTATTCCGTGCTTAATACTTGATATAATATTTATTTTTTGATAAAAGTATAATATAATAATCTAAATGTAGGATATTGATAGTCAATGATATTAAGGATTAATACAATGGTTTATTTAGAAACCATAATTACCTAGAAAGATGGAAAAAATATAAAATTTACATTTTGTCATTAAACAATCCCTAATTAGATGGTACCCATAATACAAATTAGTAGTATATCTTTAAGGTTCATCTCAATATTAAATTATTATTAAAATTTAGAATTGGTAGGTTGGGAGGCCAAATCCCTTAAAATGTGTGCTAATGATACTTTTCAAAATTAAAAAAATCTAAAAACCCTAAAAATTCAAACTCACCTCTTTTTTCTTCCTCCGACCGTCTACCTTCCTCTCCGGCTGGCTCCGCTTTTCTATGTCACAAGAGCATTTCATCTTCAGCCGCCTTCAAAAAGAGATTTACGTCGGTTCTTATTCTTCGAGCGTTTCTACCTGCCTTTGTCTCCGATCGACGTTTGTCTGCCTTCATCTCCGGCCACCTCCATTTTTTCTCAATCGCCAGAGTAGTTCATCTCCAAATTGAAAGGTTTGTATTCCAACAGATATTTTCAATTTCTGATTTGGTGTGAAATATTGTATATGTGAGGATATATAGTATAGTGATTTAATTATGATATATCTTATAACTCAACTTGTATATATACAGATATACAGATATATATTATAGTGATTTTGAATGTATATATGCAGATATATAAGTGGATATATCTTATAACTCACCTTGTATATATGCAGATACGTGGATATATACTATAGTGATTTTGAATATATATATACGGATATATAAGTAGATATATACTATAATTTTTGAATATATTTTTTAAATATGCGGATATATGTTTATTGAGACTTCAAAAGATGTTTATGTGATTTTGAATTGTGGGAAAATCAATATTTTTAGGGGGTAAATTAAGGTTTTGAAGGGGTGAATTAAGAGATTTTGTATTGAAAATTAGTATGGACCCACGATAATGAAATGATTATGATAATAATTTATGGAATTAAATCTTTTATATTTAAAAAAATAAATAATTATAATAAATATAAATGCAATAAATAAGGGTAAAATCGAAATTAAAATAAAATCCAAAATGCAGAAATCTAAAAGTGTAAAATTAGAAAAATTTAAACATTTATACAAATAAATTTCTAAAACAGCCCGACATTACCTCGTGATATTATTTTAATTTTCAAACAAGGTCTGGAAAATTCACTCGGACGTAACGTATGCTTTTCTTTTTGAAAACAACAACTTTGGTTTGAACTTTGGAGCATCGCAACCGAACAAGAGACACCTATTGGTCTCAAAATTACCAAAGCCTGAATAAGGCCCAGCCCAAACTAATTTGCCTCACGCAAAACAATTATGATTTTTCTTTTTATTATAAATTTACGAAGAAGATCCCTTTCTCACCCTAAATTTGGCAAAGGTGGATCAATTTTTGTCTAAACTTTTCAAACTTCATCAGATTTACCTTAAACTTTATTAAATATTACAAAAAATATTGTAATTTTTATCCTCTAATAAATTTTCGTTTGAAATATTATTGAAAAAAATACTTTCACGTGTGCAATAAATTATAAAAAATATGTTTAATTTGAAACTGATAAAATTTAGACAAAAGTAACCTTAGAGTTGGTTTTTGGTTGAAATTTGTAAATTAATCAAAATAATTTGAGTAAAACTTGATTTTCATTAACTTAGTGAGTTTTTGGATTTTTAAATTATTTTTTTTGTTAAAATTAATCAGTGAATTTAGCAAAAATGGAATAGACGGTACAAACCGAAACACTTATTGAAAGTTTGAATTGTTTTCAAGATCTTCTATTCCTTTGCTGGATATAAGTTAGTAATTAGTATAAACAAGCTCAATTTATTTGAAATGAACTGAGAGTCTCAGACCAATATGCAAATTTTGCCAACAACCCAATGTAAACTATTTGAGTTGGAAAAAGAGTTAGATTATTGAATTATTAGATTTGTTGTTTCTTTTAATTGTCTGATATTTTGAATACCCTAATGGACCTTGGATTTACAGAATCTATATTCTTAAATCTTAATCTGCATACCAAAATTATGTTAAATATTTAAACAGGAGACAACCCAAGGAGCAGGTTTCAGTCTCACACAGACAAAATTACAGGGTTGACTGTTGTGTCGGCTGGGAGTGGGACAACAATGGTAAAAAGTGCACATGATTTCTGACATTAAATTTTACATAGATTTTTGTTAAGTTTGTAATAAACAAAGTTTCACATTGGTTAAGTAAGGAAATAATCTTATTATATATAGATGAGAACAATTATCTTCATTGATATGAGGTTTTTTGGGTTAAATCAAAAGCTGTCCAAAAGAAGACGATATCATACCGAGATACTTTAAGGACCATTGTCCTTAGAGTTTTCTTATTTGATATATGTGGGGGAACGTGGAGCCAAAACGATAGGAGGAAGAAAATAAGTTTGAAAGGTTGAAGTTGCTGCAGGTGTGGACATGAGGGCATAGTGCCCATGCTGAAATGCTTGTAGCGTTGAGATGTCATGGACAGCGTCTCAATACTGCAGTGTGGAGTGAGATTCCATGCACATTGCGGAAGACTAGATGTAGGCTGTGATTGGGTGAACCAGTTTAAGATAATTTTTTTTCTTTATTTAAATACATTAAAGTTTTCTTTTTTCTTTTTCTAAACTATTTCTGCAATTCTTTAGTAAATACTGAAACCATCCAAACTGACATTTTATTGGTAAAAACTGATGTGTAAACGAAGAAAGACGTTTTTCTTTCTTTCTTCTGAGCCAAGCAGAATGTATGGTGAAGGAAATAAGAAGAAAAATGCTCAAATTGATGGAAGTGTACAGTTGGCTGTACCATATTATGATTTATGAGCCATCATGGTATGAAAATGAAATTACCCAACGTATTCAACGATGATACCTAACACAATTCTCCAATCTCCACCCTCGTTTAATATGGAAAGATATAGACACGCATATATATGTATATATATATAACTTCATTGGACCTTAGACATGGCATTGCACCAATATTAACGTCTATTATTGCAGGTTGACTTGTCCAACGATCAAATCGAAAGACACATAGACCAGCCAGATTTCGACATCAACAAAAGAATATATATATATGTATTTGTATTTGAGAGCACCTTGCTAGTAAAGTTACGAAAAGTAAAGCCATACAATTTTAAGGCTCTCAATGGTTGGAGTGGTTTTGGAACCTTTTCTAGGGCAATGAACCACCCTTTTTTTTTATCTTTAAAACTAACTAGTAGTTGAGTGATTGCCTGACTACTTTCAATGATTTTTAAACAAGCCTTTTAAATTAACATTTAATTAACACTTGTCAAGTTAAACATGACCCAATCTCAACAACACTAGTCTATAATTATCTCAACAACATTAGAGAAGTGGCATATCTACTAGAAAGATCGTTAAGAGAAAGTTCGATAAATGTTTGTGCTATGAAAAGATGTTAAGAGTGTTAACAAAAAATAGTCGATCAAATCTTATAGCAAACTCTCACCACCAAGAGAAAACATATATGAATGGTATTATAAATGGGTTTAAATAGGGAATATATACTCCAGCAGAATTAGAGCCCATCCATGTGCGAACGAGTTGGATCCGAGTTGTTTCAGCATGAACATGTTGCGAACTTAATTCAGTCAGAAGGTTCTGGGCTCTACATATATACTTCCAAAAATCATCCCATTTCATCATGTGTGGTGGACAAGACAAGACACTATATGTGGAGAAAATTAAATTTGTAACGCCAACAAAATCAAACAAGATACAATTTTGAGCCTAATATTTTTTTTCCTCTTTTTGCAAAAGGTCTAACAATACAGAATTAATGGACCCCACCATGCGTTCGATCCAATTCTCCTTTCATTTTCCAATCATTCAATGCTCAAAATTTTCAAGTTTATCACTTGGTCGTGTCACCGCATAGCAATGGCTGTTCTAGATCGTTCCTAGAATAATCATCATTCTTCACAAAAGAATCATCAATCACGTCTTGTTTAATCTCTTCAACGTCTTTGGCCTTACCCCATAGTACGATATACAACCCAATTATCACACCAACAGCACCCAATAAGCTGCACAATCAATAATTAAGCAAAAATTAAGGTCTAATCAAGTGGGGGAAATCGTGGGAAAAAATGAGGTGGTGTTGTCGTTGAATTACCTGCCAGTGTATAGCTGTTCGTGCATAAATATAGAAGAAATGAAAGTTGTGATTACAGTGCAAAGAGGGTTGAACAATGCGGTGAAAAGGGGCCCTCTGCGCGAGACGCACCAAGCTTGAACGAAAAAGGACAAAGCAGAGGATGTTCCCTAGCAATTTGTTTCAGATGGAAAAAAAAAAAATCATATTTTGAGGTTCAATTTGAAGGGGGAAATTGTTCAGTTGAATGTGTTGCAATTACAGTTACTTACGGCGTATAAACAAGAACCCAATTGCAATGGAGAAGGAAGATTCAAAATTTTATCGGTGTCGTCTACAAGCAGAGTGATGGCTGCGGATTGACACATGGCGAAGAACAACATCCAGGTGGAAGAAATTAAATGGTCCGGACAGTGCCTTGAAACTGGAACCTGCGAGATTTTAAGGATTAGCAGAAAACAATTTGGTTTTTTTTTTCGAAATTTGGTCGGGAAAAATAAGATTGACGAACCAGCATGATGATCCAAAATGCCCAGCAGCAACTGCTCACGAAGAGAAGCACGCAGCCCAGAAGCCACGTGTCCTCTCCGCTTTCTCCTCCGATTCCAAGCATATTGAAAAGGCCAACATTTTTAGGCAAAATCTCTGTGTTCAATAGCTTAGGGCCTTTTATTAGCGCCATGGAAGCAGCTCCCCCAACGCATACCGCTGTTCCCACTACTTTGGCAGCGCTTCTCCAGCTTCTCCCCTTTAGTTTCTCCAATCTGAAACACTTGGATTTGTGATGCTAATTTTTACACACGGGTTTAAACATTAGCAATTACACTGTTTATGGCATTGGATCAGATTAACGTACCCTGCAATGGCTGCCATCACAAACGTGATTGCAGGGATCAGATTAACGATGGCACTGGCCGCTGTTGAGGAGGATAAGTAGAGCCCTTCAAAATAGGCATTTTGATTGCCCGTTACTCTGTAGAATCACAAATCCCCACAATTGAAAAGGGTTTTGCAAGATCCAAAAAAAGACAAAAAGAAATGAAATCATACCCAATGAGAGCAGTCAGAAAAATCAGAGAAAAGCCCGTGAGTCCAATTGAAGGCCTGTTGCTAGTCTTCCTGTAAAAAGGGGAAGTGGGTAAATGAGAAATTGAAGAGCTCGGCTGTGGAAAGTTGTGGATTCGTTAAAAATGGAACCTTGATAAGAAAAAAGAAGCAGGGAGCATGGCTAGAGTGGCGATGGCGTTTCTGTAGACAACAAAAACTCTGGGGGTCATCCCATCGAGAAGAGCAGCTCGGCTGAAGATGGCAAGACCTGCATAAATGCACTGCAAGGCCACCATGGCCAATGCAGGCTTGTAATCTTCCAAACGCCCCATCTTCTGAAAATTGTAATCGTTTGGAATTGGAAGACAGAGCATTGGAAATGGAAACAGTTTCTGTACAATTCCATGTCTAATATAAGGGAAGGGGAAGGCCGAGTTGGCAAACTAATCCTGTAATGTGAAATTAGAATTTTTAAGACGATTCATGCACATTTTTGTCGTGTTCTGTTGATTACAAGCCGAAAGCTAAGGTAGCAGTGAACCTGAACACAGATTATGGCCAGGGTGGACTCCAGCAGAAAATAAAGTTTATATTCTATCTATATAATTTTTCCATTTTACAATAAATTAAAAAGTTACCAGAAACTTCTCCATTTTTCTCCCAAATTTTCCAGAACATTTTTTTAAATTTTGAGAAATAAGAAATACATGGCTGGTTGGTAATGTTACTCATTTTTGTTCCATCCTTTTTAAAAGAAAAGAAAAAAAAAAAGAATTACAGGACCACAGCACTTATAGATTCAAAATGATCCATTTTTATCTATATTTTAGAATAAATTGAAATAAGAAACCTAACTTCTTTTTTTTTTCAAAATTTATAAATAATTTTGAGAATGTTTTTAGAAAAATGAGAAACAAAAACATAGTAAAATGTTTAATTTCTTAATAAAATTAGAAACGAGAAGTAAGAAATTGTAACGTTATCAAACGAATCTATAATTGTCAAATGCTTAAGTTTCAAACACAAGAAATGATAAGAAAATGTCACCAATCGGACCAAATAATATGCAAACTTCATCCCAATCTATTCATTTAAGAATTTAATGGTCATCCCTTGGAAAAAAATCCACGCTGGCTGCTGTCTCTGAGTCATGATCCAATCATTTTACACTTTGTAATGCCACATTTGAAAATTGAAAGTCACGATGCTTTTTAATTATTAAATTTTAAGTGCTCATTATCTATATCGTAGGTGGAGTTCGAAAAAAAAACGGGCAATTACCTCCCTCTAAATTCACCTTAAATCAAAAAACGAAATAGTTATTGTTAGGTTTGTAAGGTGATTGCAAACAAAGTTCCAACTAGGAAGGTGAATGATCATGAGTATATAAGAAAAGACAATTATCTCAATTGGTATAAGATCTTTTGGGTGAAACCAAAAGTAAAGTCGTGACGGCTATGTCTAAAACAGACAATATCATACCATTACGGAGATACATGGGTACTCGGGATACAGTTGTCCTTAACAGTTATATGGTACAAAAACATCATATTTTATAAAATATATTTATATAGTAGATATTTATTAGACGTTGAAATATGTTAGTGAATCTTTTTATTCACAAATCTTTTTAGTGTTGGTTAGTTTAGGCTAGATTTTATTCTTGATTTCATCTTTCATATTATTGGAGATAATTGTCTTCTACAATATATCATGAGTCGCTCACTTTCCTAATCAACGTAGTACTTTATTTGCACTCCTTGCAATCTAAATATTAACGACACTAAGAAATATTGTTAAGAGGAAGTTCAATGAATCTCTGTGCGATGAAAGAATGATTAAGAGTGTAACAAAATAAATGGTCGATAAGTTTTACAAGAGACTCCCGACAAGAGAGAAAATATATACATGAATGATTGAGCAGTCACAATTTACTTGAGAGATAAATACTATCTTACCACACGGTTAAAAGTAGGGAATATATACTCCTCTGGAATTAGAGCCCAAACATGTGCTGTGGAGTTGGATCCGAATTGTTTGAGCTCGATCATGTTGCGAACTTTAGTCAGAAGGTCCAACTCTACATAAATACTTCCAAAAATTGTCCCCATTTAATCATGTGGTGGGCAGGACAAGACATTATGTGGGGAAAATTAAAGTTTGGAACACCAACCAAATCAAGCTAGATAGAATATTGAGGTTACTATTTTTTTTTTCCTTTTTGCAAAAGGTCTAACCAAACAGACACATCCAGTTGGAATTATCTCGATCACATTTTTTCAAAAAAAAAATAAAAAGAATTAATGGACCCCACCATGCGTTCTAGTTCAATTCTTTCTTTCATTTTCCAATCATTCAATAATGGTCAATTTCTCAAGTTTATCACTTGGTCGTGTCATCGCATAGGAGTGGCTGTTCTAGATCGTTCCTAAAATCATCATTCTTCACAAAAGACTCATCAATCTATGTCTCTTGTTTGATCTCTTCAACGTCTTTGTACTGCAATTTGCTTACCACAAATATATCGGACCAAGTTTTAATATTGATGGTAAGTAATTAATACAGATATTATCGTCCTATGTATTAAATTTCTAACCCACCTAAATATCACAGATACATTCATATCGCTCAATTTTATTTAGAAAATTGAATTCAAATGAGATATTAGAATCAAAGCAATTACTAATTAATAATAAAGATAAAAATGATGGGRAAAAGTCGTATAGAATTGATTTAACATATTGAATATATGAACCAATTACTTAATTTCCCAGTAATGGACTATTAATTCTATAAGCCAATAACTCTCAAATCTCAATTGTCATTCCCGAGCGCAAGCTAATTCTCATTACTAATTAAGAAACCAATATCAATATCTAGTTTCTATAACAAGTAATTAAAAGATTTATTGAATAAATCTTTTAACGACCTCTAAAAGAATTCTAAATCTCCCGAACATAAAATTTCAAGTCTAAAATCAATCAATGTATGACTAATAGATTAAAGGCATTGAGCATATAGATACATAGATAAAACAATCATAATCATTCAATCAGGAGAATTAAATAATCAATCCAAGTTTAATGGTTACATCAATCCATAAAGACAAATCAACTTAACTACTCCTATTCAATGTAAAACAATAAAGTTTCATAACAAACTAAAAAATCAAGTAAAAAGAAATAAACTAAATCCATAGTGTTTGATTGGTCATCCATTTTCTAAGCTCCAACTTAATACTTATTTTCTCTATATTTTTTAATTATAAAATAATAATAATACTCATGTCCCACTAAAGTTGATTTAATTTCACACATATATATATTGTAAAATAATAATCTAATGATCCATCAACCTTTTGTTAATAAAGTGACTCAATTAAGATTTTTCAATAGATTAAAATGATAATTGCCTAAAAAGTGTATATTTTGCCTATATTATATTATAGTTGTTTCAAAGAAAATATTGTGGGAAAAATTTAGAAACTGTCAAAGCGAGCATGACCCAACGATAATTGGCATATATTTCCAATAAATTGATTGTGAGTTCGATCCCCCCAAGGACATGTTGTACTAAAAAAAGAAATAAAGAAATAAAGATTCAGGAACCGAATCAATAGACATGTAATTACTTAATTTATGTCTCTATATATCATGACAAAACGAAAATTATGCCTATATATATGATTTTTTTTATAAAAAATAAAGTGTATATATGCTCCGGTATGAATATTTATGTTATAGTCAATGACACATAACATAGCCAACGACAAATGATTTTCCTCTTTATTTTTTAATATAATACTTTTGAATATATGATTCCCGATTCATGATTCTCTGTTTTTGTTTTCTTTAATTTTATTATTTTGAATATATGGTTCATGAATCACATTTTCTTTTTCCAATTAAGGAATTTTGAACATTTTCCTCCATTACGAAGAACTTATTTTATCATTGTAATTTCATTTAATCACTTCCATATATATCTTAAAAACTAAAATTCAAAATAGCTGAAACCTATTTTTTTACTGCTGCGCTAAGCCTAGCTGAGCGGTTTTACTTCAATTTGAATTTTATAAAATTTTAAAATTTGTGCTATGTTCACAAATATATATTTATTTAGGTTGGATGCCGAAAATGCAGAATTCCAAATATGGTAATATTTATTTGGCTGGCCGACAAACCACGTGGAGTACGACCAATTTGAACTAACGCATGGTCATATTTTCGCAATCGCGCCGCCGCGGCTGAAAAGTAATATCTGATTATCTGGAAAGTTTTCTAATATTTGAAAGAAAAAAAACCTGTCACGCCACGCCACCATCATTTTACGACGAATTATATTCTTAATAATAAAAAATGATGTAAATTTTGTTGAATAAAATAATAAACTAAATTATAATTTATACCATATAAAACAGCGACGGATCTAAGGGTCCAGGGGCTCCCCTGAACTGTGCACAAAATACAATTAGTATCTACAAATTTTGTATAGGAAAAGAAAATAATTCTTGGGTTAGATCTCTCATTTCAACTTTTTAATATTTTTACGATTTTTATGTAATAGGTGATCTTTTTGGATTTTTATATTTATCATGTGATTCTCCTTTATTTAATGTAATATTTGATTTTTCATAGTTAAAATGAGGAAAAAAATTTGGTCAATTTTTCCTCAAAAGTCATATGCTGAGATAATGTTTACTTTTTTTTTTTTTTTTACAATTTATACGTTGTTATTACATATATGTAATATTTTTTCTATAAATTATTATACCAATATTTTTTTCTTCACTTTAAATTATCATTTTTAAGATTGATAGTTCTTTTTTTTAATATAAAAGTATCCTTAAAAGAAGAATTATTTAAAAAGAATTTTTTTTATATAAATATGTCAATTTGGTTTATGTTGACTAAAAGAAGAAAAACAAAAAACCTGCCATTTTTTTTAGTACAACACGTGGGTTGGGAGATCGAACTACTAATCCCTTGATTAAAGATATATATCAATTACCGATGAACTATATTCGTTTTGGTAGAATATATATATTGAACAAATAATAAATATATAAAAAAATCTATATAAATATGTCAACTTTTAAATGAGAGAAAGATATATATGAGTTGATGTTTCTTAAACGTAAGATTATTCTTCGACTTTTTTAAACAGTGCAGCCATCGCACTTTTTTATTTTAAACTTAAAAGAAATTAATTTTAATAAATATATTTATCATCTATTTGATTTAACTGTTTCTTTTTTTCCTTTTTCAATTTACACGTTGTCGTTATATATGGGCAACGTTGTTATATAAATTATTGTATCAATATCCTTTTTTTCCCTTCGGTAAATTATCAAGTTTTTGAACAACGTAAAAATTAATTATGTAGGTCACATTCTACTCAAACTACTTGAACTAAAATTCTAGATCTGCCATCTATAGTAAACCTATCCTAAATTATAAATTTAGCTTATAGACAGTATATTGTATTTATTAAATTATTTAGTCCCTTTTTTTTTTAATGAAAACTCCCTATTAAGTTACTGATTGGTTAACTATAACTGAATAATGACATAGTATAGTTATTGTATTTAGTCCCTATTTTGTATGAAATAGATGAACAAAATAATTAACAATAATGAAAAGAATATTTTCAAATTTTTTGTATCGTTAAAAATGTAATATTTGAAAGTGCGAGGATTAAAGCAAAAAGAAAACAGATTGTAAACCAATTTTCAGTATTTGAAAAAGTAAATGTTGACATCATTTAGGTTGAATTATATGATTTGTACGAAGGAGGGCGAGAAACTGGGACACAAGATCTGGCACATCCTTATCTTGTGTTTGAAAAGAACATTCAGTATGCCATGTGGATAACCTTTGTCCTTGGCATTTCATTTCACAAGAACAAACCTCCACCATATGGCCCGACCCCGAGAAAAGCTAATAAAAAGAACTCACGATCTTTTTTAAAATATTTTCTCATCGAGCCATATCACATGCCTAGCAGGTTTCAAATACCACCATGTTGAGGTTGAAGGAAACTTATTTTAAAAATCAAGGCTTTAGATTGGGCGAGGCAATCAAATCAACTGGCAGTTTGTTAATCTTCAACCCTAAACGGTATAATCATACATAGAAGAGGACGACTTGAGCTGCAGTTCTGTAGATTTTTTATTTTACCTTCTAAATTCACCGCTCTCACCTTTCAATTCAAGTTTTCAAGCTTGTGCTAAAAAGTGATACCAAAAGCAACATCAAATTTAGCGAATCCTGCACAAAAGTTTATTTTTATCTGTCCCACACAAGAAAGTAACAAAAACAATAATTGAAAAAACTTCAGTAAACATATATCTTTTACCAGCTTCAGTAACTCCCTTGATAACTCATCAGATTTCTCAAATATCTCATCATTCACATTACAGAACATCAAACAGAGCTCTAAGACTTGGCAACTTCAATGATGTAAGTGGCACGGACTCGATTCTTATTAGAGAAAATACTGAGGAAAATAATATTTGTCATGTGGATATGCTTTTCATTTCCTTCTCAACTATGGCCAGGCGTGGCCCCTTCTTCATAGGATGGGGATAAGGGAATTTTACTTTTAGTTACGTTATTCACTATAATCTATAAAATACGAGATTTATAAACCCAAGTATAATGAATCGCCAAAAACTTCATAATAATTTCTCATCGAGCCATTAGAAGGTTTCAGATATCACCATGTTCGAGGAAACTTTTTATGAAAATCAAAGCCCTCAGAATTCATCGGTTGAACAAACGAAGAAAGTTATGGAGGAAAAGGAAAGAACGCTAAAATAGATGAAAGCTACAATTTGAGTATAATGGATCAAATAACAACCCGAGTGTTATTCAAGACTTGAAGCAAAAAAAATTAAGCAGGAGAGGGAGATGATAATTAAGCAAAAGCTTTCTTACTCCCCTTTCTATCTCCACCCTTTATCATTCTTGAGAGAACATCAGCTTGCTTTGTGTTCCCTTCTTGATTGAGGCTTCTGATCAGATCATCACAGCTACTCCAATCCTTGGCCCCTCCTTTCTCCATTATCTTACACAAAATCGAGTAGGCATTCAGCGTCTTACCCGCCCCCAACAGCGCATCCAGTACTTTCTCATAACTTGAGAGCTCTATGTCACATTCTCTTTCCAACCCAAAATCCAAAAGCTTGAGAGCAGCAATAGTCTTCCCCTTTTCACAAAGAACGGATAAAAGACTACCAAAATCAGGTGGGCAATTGCAACTCATAAGCAAATCGATTCGTCCTAATGCTTCTTCGACATGACCTCTCATGAAAAGGGCTTCCAGGATTTTGGCAACCAAGTCTAAGTTTTCTGTTATTCCTTTTTCCAACATACTCTTCATCACTCGGCTTGCAGTCTGCACCCTCCCATCTGCAAATAGACTTTCCATCACTGATCTAAACAACGTCGAATCAGGGTAGTGCCCACTTTCAATCATGCTGTCCAAAGCTGTTTTAGCATCAGCTGGTTCACCTTTGCTCAAGTAGCTCTTGATAAGCAACTTGTAAGACTCTGCATCCCTAGACACACCCCTCCTGCCCATGATTTTCAAAATTTCATATCCCAATTCAGGATTCCCTTCTTTGGAATGGCCACGGATCAAATTATTAAATGCCACCTCATCCTGAATACCCTTCTTCATCAGCTGCCGGAAAAAGGTTTCAGCTTTTCCGGTCTGTCCATGGTTGCACAGATACTGAATTATAGGGTTATATGCACTAGCCTCCATATCCAGAGTACTTTGTGGCCTCAATATGATTTCTTTTTCTACAAGCTTGTCAAGCAATTTAACCGCCTGGTCATACGCTTCAGCCTTGCAACAGTTCTCAATTAAAATACCGTAATGCCCAGCGTCTGTCGGAATGCTTAATCGAATCATTGCCTTAAGCACATGCATAGCAGCATCCAAATCTCCATGCTTGCACTGGCAAGATAACAACCTCATGAAAATTGAATTGTCCTTTGGAGCAATATACTTGTCCACCATTTCTATCAAAATTTGCCGTGCTTCAGACATTTTTTCTGCATTGCAGAGACCAGGGAGCAGAGTTGAATAAGTAATATCATTTGGCTTCACACCAACAGCCTTCATCTCTTCAAACAATCTCAATCCATCATCTACTCGACCAACAGAAACGTAACCTTTTATCATAGTAGTATAGCTTATTACAGTTGGTACAATATTCTTCCCCTTCATCTCAGTAAAGAACTGCTCCGCCTCCTCCATCATCTTGAACCGATAGAACCCGTTAATCATAGTGTTATACGTTACAACATCGGGCGAAATACCCCTACTCTTCATGTCTTCATAAAACTTCTTGGCTGTCTCAAGCCTCAACGATAGAAAGAAACCCCATAGCATAACATTGTAGGTATGGCGAGTGGGCTCTATTCCTTCATTCAACATAGCATTAAAGTACCTCTTCGCCATCATATACCTTCCCCTCCTCAGAATTACCTTAAATAAAGCATCATAAGATTTAATACTCCTCTCAACACCCAATTCCTTCATTTTTTGAAATATTTTCACAGCCTCCTGAACTATCCCAGCTTTGCCATAACTATCAATCATTATAACGAATAGGTCTTCGTCCCATTCGACGCCCTTATTTGGCATATCAAGAAGAATGCAACGGGCATGGTTAAGCTTCGAAGCTCGACCCAGAATCTCAATTATTTTCAAATGGGTATCACGATCGTGCCGAAATAAGCCAGATCGCTCTACCCACCGGAAGAACTTGAGCGCGTGGTCTGAGTTCTTAGCAGCATGTAACACATTCCAAACAAGGGAGTGATCAAATTCGGGAACCAATGACCGAATCGAGTTCTGTAAACGCGTCGTCCACTCACGATTTGCCATCATTCTACAAATAACATCCTCTAATTTTTCTGGATTTCGATGCTTACCTCTCGGAGTTCTCTGCTTAACTTGCTCTGCACCATTGACAGCCGCCCGTCCTCCGGGCTGAGGTGCTGCGGCATCAGAACTGGCGGAGGGATCACTGGGGCTTTCATTGGGAATCTGTTCTTGTGTGGAGCTGAAGAAATGGAGCAAATTGAGGGCGCTTGGGTTCGAAATTGAAGAGCTGGAAAGAACCCTGAAATTAGGTCTAGATAAAGAAATGTGAGCCATGGAGGAGAAGATTTCTCGTTGAAACAGGGTTTACAGAGAGAGTTCAGCAACAAAAGGAAAAAAAAGGAAAAAAAATATACAGAGAGTGACAGCGCGAAGTCAAGTGAGGGTTTCAGGGGGAGAAGAAGGCGTTGCTTTTCCTCCCTACCATGTTGGACCGGGTTTTGTTTTGGGCCCAAATCTACACAGAGCAAGCCCATAATGAAGTTTGCAAGATCATAAAAAAGCCCAATCTCAACAAAATCGGCCCATCAGATTTTATATATTTTTCAGTACGATTTGTTATAGGATTTGAAGATACAACTTCAAAATCAAAGAAAAACAAGTTGGTGTTAATTATCACTAAGTTATGCTTACGTTGATTAGATATAAAAGCTACAAGAAAATTAAACGCCACAAAATTAAATATGGTTGTAAATCTCTCTTTCTTTTACCTAAATTGGTTGGTTAATCATGTTGGGAACGTGTTAAAAAATATTTAAGACACCACTGTCTATCCTACGATATCTTTTATTTTTGCAGTTGATGTTCAATAGTTTACATTTTAACTTTCGTTGGTCAAATTATATCAAAGGGGAGTGTTAGAGAATGTACTGAAAGATTTTAAATACTCCTATTCAATTTTGATTCTTGAACACGAAAAACATGCATCCATTTACCACTATGGTGAATAAAACTCTAGTAAGAAAAAGAAAACCAAAAATCGAATAAGGGTGTGTTCGAGAGTGATTTTAGCACAGTCAAAATTACTTTTGCCATTATTAAAACCATTCCCCTTACTTTAAATCAATTTAAAGGTAGGATTAGGATGATTCTTTTGAAAAAAAATGATTATACTTAATTTTTTTTAAAAAAATAATTGATTCTACCATCATTTCCAAACAAATAAATTCCAAAATTTGTGACAAAAACAGAAACAAACAACATTCCTGCCCCCGAATTTATTCGCCTGGATTTCACGATGCAGTGTGGTGTGGCGGTGGGGACTCCCAATATTATTCACCTGTAACTTGGACCAATTTCCCTTCGCATTTATTTCTAACCATATTTCCTATTCACCAAAATAATTCATTAACTTCGCCCAGAAAACAAAATATCATATTAAGAAGGAGAAATATTTGAATGGTTAACGTTGTATATTATATGGATTTTGAAGTAAGAGTGAGTAAATTTAATTAGATGAGAGGGAAATGAATTCGATGGGACGCCATATAAATGAGACTGCTGTTGCCAAATGGCGTTTCTTCATTGTGTTTCTGTCAAGTTATTCAAACGCATGATGACAGAAATTATGGGAGATTTTACAGGTGTTGCCAGAATAACTCAACCCAGCTCCCAAATTATTGGAAACCACACCACAGCATTTTTACCTGCCCTCTTTGAAAAATTATGTTTCACACGAAGGAACCATTTTGAAAAATAACTGTCACTATAACAATTTCTGTTTTTTTGTTTTTAGGTTTCTAACTATTTTTACTTTTCTGTTTTTCAAAAAGTTAGAAAATTACGAATATTGGAATTGATATAGAAATTTTAGAAAATCATATAATTTTATGTTGATATATATTTTTAAAATATAATTTGAATTGATATAGAAATTTTTCTTTTATAAATTTAATATTATTTTTTATGTCAATTTAGTTTATGAATATTGGAAGAGTAAAATAAAGGGAAGATTTCAACTAGATTTGAATGGAATGATAAATTAAAATATTATGTTGTTGTGTAGATCTAAATGTAATATATAAATATAATTGTATTTAGCCATTTATTAATGAATCAGTCCATACATTTGTTTTCAAAATAAAACAAATTAAATTAAAAAAGTTAAAAAAGATGATGAAAAAATATATAGAATAAAAATGACAAATGCATGTTGGTAGGACGACATCTAAAAGTACTTAGATACTTCTGTATAACATGCTTCAACATCTAACATTTCCATCCCATAGAAATCTTAAATTTCCATCCAGAATTGGTCTATTATGTCTTTTATTATGGAAAGATCAAGTCAAGCCTAGCGAAACTACAAGAGATGCAAATTGGATCAAAGGTGGAAAGACCCAAATGTAGAAACCCAATAGGAAGGCCAAGGCCTGCAAAGTCGACTTGTTGTTCGCACTGACCATTTCTCGATCGTTGGTCGAGAATTTTGGCGAGGGCTCTTTAATGGTTTTTCGATGGTAGGCCTAAACCTGTCTTGTCTTGGTAAAATTTGCTAACGGGCCAACAACTCCTCAATTAAAAATACGGCCCAGAACAAGGTACTCAAGTCCAGAAGATTAGGTTTCCTACAAGTACGAGCTGGAATGATAGACTGAATCGATAAATAACCCTACTTTTGACATTCGTCAACTCCCGATTATAACTCAAACATCGGAGCTTAGGTGTCCAGATTTATTTATTTTGTCATGTCCGGTTTTATTATTAGATATTGGTTCGAATTTGATGGGATCGGAAGGCCAAAATTATGGGATTGAAATGTCAATCATTATTAAACGAGGTTGAAAAAATGACACCCATTAATGTTGTGTTTGAAAAAAAAAAAGGCAAAAGAAAAAAAAAACATCCGATTTGTTAACCAATTAAAGAAATCGATGAAAGAAAAGAGAATTCATTTACGAATAAATTAATTTACTCCACACTTTATTTGAAAAATCATAACAAAATACAATAAAAAGATAATACGTTGTCACTTTCATACACAACGTCCAGAATATGGACCTGACGGGTTGATTTGTAGAGTGATTGCGTGGAGAATTTGCTTCGTTGGCACATTTCGGTTGGGTGGAGGTGGTTTGGAGTTGGGTTTCTTTAGGGGGGTGGTTCTGTGAATATGACAAAATTAACGTCTAAATTGATTATAATTAACGAACTTCCACTGCCCAACAACTTCCGACTTAGACGTTGGTTCAATTAATTATGGGTGGGTACCCAAAGCCAAATGCAACATCATCATCTAACTCAAACCATATACTAAATCAAATGAATCTGAAAACAGACTCTGCAACAAAAAATTTCATGTGCTTTAAAATCGTACCAAACAATTCAAATTGTCTACGTCTGCCTACCCAATATTAATCTTTTCTGCCAAATTATACAAACTTTGTTTTGTTAATTATATAAGTTAGGTAATTTCATATATATATATTTTTAATTAAACTATCCTATAGGTTCTCTTCACGGGGTGTTTTATACAATTAAGAGTTGTGCTTTTTTATTAAATGTACAATTCTCCCAATTTGAGCCTTTGTTTAATTTGTTTTGCCTACTTGCATGGTCCCTTCGTATTATACTGTTAATAAACTTTAAGGTATGTTAATTGTGAAAATTTAGAAATAGTTTTTGATGGGTAGAAGTGTGGTTGGAATAGTAACACTTTTTTAACTTGTTGATTTTTTACCACTTAAGTAAGAGTTGGGGTAGATGAATTATATCAAGTAAGGAGGTGTTTAATTTTATTAGCAAGTTCCTTTGAGATTTATTGGATCAAAATGTAGATTAATTTCTATTTAATTTAAAAAATTTATAGTACATAAGCATTAAATAAAAGCTTCAAAAAGATTGCATTTGAAATTAAAAAGTATTATAACTATTANGCTTGATTTGATTAAGACAACTGATCAGAAATAAATAATCCAATGTGAGTAACATAACATACTCACAAGGATTAGACGAAAGTCAAAAAATAATGGGCCCACTTTGACTAATATACTCATTACTCATCGCATTGAATTAAAAGATGATCAAAATTATGTTGCTTTAAATTTCTTAAATTTAAATCCAATTTTAACCAAACAAAAAGCGTTGTGCTGATTTAATCAAACCCTTGAAATATCGAGACATTGAAAATAAAATTGGTTGGTATTAAGGGCAACTTTGACTTACCCTTCTCATTTAATTGCTAATTTTTAAACAAATATTTTTTAAATGGTTATTATAAAAATAGTTTAAATTAAAATATACAAATGTTTGGTTACATTTTCTTTAAATAATTTTAATCACTAGTTTGTTTGATTATATGGTACATAAAAATGATTATACAGAGTGAAAAATTATCATAAAAGTGATTTCAATTTTACTATTTTTGGAAAAAGAATGTTGAATAACCAATTCAGTTTTCTGTTTCTTTGCTTTTCAAAAACGATTTTGAAGTCCTATATAAATTAAAAAAATAGTTTCTAATAAAAAAAATTTCTAAAATCTTATTTTTTTTTGTTGTAATACTCAACTTCTTTTTGTCTGTGACATATTTATCCTTAACAAATTTCTTTATCATTATAAACTTTTTTTCTTTTTAAATATCTTTATAAAAAATTTATCTATCTCTAAAATTTTAATATTTTAAATCAGGATTTCTATCTCTCTCCAAAATTTTAATTTCTATCCATTTTTTTTCTTTTGTTTTAACACAACACTCTCATTTCTCATATTTTCTTTTGTCGTTCAATTTTATTTCACTATAATTTTTATTTCTCTTTGTATTTATTTATTTTCTCTAATAAATATATTTTGAATTTGTTTTTTTACTATAATTTTTCAATTTTTTTATAATTCATTTTTTTCTTTGACGTATTTTTTCCTCTCAACGTTACTCTTTCTCTTCAAATTTTTTTCTCTTTTTGTCTTTAACTTTTCTTTCACTAATTATTTTTTTTCAAATTTTTTTATTTACCACTCTAAAATTTCTCTTTCAAAAGTTTATTTTCATCTCTATAAATTTGTATTTTCATTCTCTACATCAGGGATGAGAAAAGTTTCTGCAAGGTCAGATCCCCGCTTCAATAATAGGAAAAATGCATGTCGTGATTTGATCCCTGATTTCATTTTTAAATAATTAATATATATTTAATTGACACATTTATTAAATTGTGAATAAAATATTAAATAATTGTTTAAAATTAATTATTTATATTAGTAAATAATACTTCTAAAAATAAATAATATATATTTATTACATTGTTTTATTTTTTAAATTTTAAAAATAATAAAATTAATTATAAAACCAGTAATTTTCCCTGTGAATATCCCATCTCCAAATAAGGATTATTTGACTTGGATCGAATAACAAAGTAGAGATAAGGACTAAA